ACTCATGAAATTTTGAATGTGAGTCAACAAACCTTTCTGGAAAGGGTTAAAGTGTTTTGCTCAAGAACACAGAATGATGAGGAGCCAGCCATGAACTTGCAACCAAAGACTACAAGTCAATAGTGGAAAGCCACTGAAAATCTTAGTATATCAAGTTCACGTTTTTTCGTTTATGCGGGTAACGAGTAAAGTCCTCAAAAAAAAAAGATAGCAGATTATTAATACAAGATTTCCCTTTGGTGAATTCATTTATGACATCATATTTCACTAAATTAGTTTGTTCTTTTAATGGATACTATTATAAATTTTCCCTCTACAATGTAAGATTAATGAACCCATAATATCCAGGCCAACTCTTATCACTGCCTTTAGAAATAGGGGTAATTAGCAATGATCCATTCCACAGGCACTTGCACACTGTATTTTGAGCTACCAAACTTAAAAGAGAAAGGTTTGTCTATTTGGTTATTGACCTACTTTAAAACCCTGGAGAAAGTTTTGTCTGTCCCTGGTGCTTTATCTCCTTTTAATTTATCTTTTTTTTTTTTCCCCACTTGCCGCCAATGGCTTAATATCTATTTGATTCGGGTCAATTCCAATATTTCACATAGAATATCCAGGGTCAGGAATATTGTTAATATATTCTCTTGTAAAAACAGAATAGAAAAAAAAATTAAAGATTCAATCATCCAATAATTTTCAACAATAAACTTGCCAAAAGCATTCTTTAAGGGCCAAATCACCCATTTTAACATACTTTTAAAGATTTTTTGCTATTAGTCTTAACATTGTTAGCATTTTTTATCATAAGTAAAAAAAAAAGAAGCAAGTATATATAGGCTTCCATAACTTGAAAGTATTATCTCAAATATTCATATACAACAAAATTTGTTCATCTGTACAAGATAGAGCTTGTAAGCTGATAATAATTGAGGTATCTCATAGAACATTTTAAACACAAAATTTATTAAATTATGATTGAAAGTCAGCAATATTCTTCCTATAGATTATATTAGAAGTTTTACAGGATATCACTACCTTTCAAAAACCTTTACATCTACATTTTAATTCCTTTGGTTATTATTTAGGTTAATAGTGAACTGCTTACATGTATTGACCATTATTAGTTTCACATCTTGTAAGTTTAAATTATTATATATAGTTAATATTAGTTATGTAACAGTTCTATACATGTTATGGCATTGTCATTAAATTACTTACATTAATTCCTGAAGACTGCTTTCTTTGCCACATTTATGAATCGAACATACTGTTGGTTTGAATGTGCTTTCTATTCACTATGAGAAAAAACCTATACACTAGATAGGTGAAGTGAAGAAAAAAAGTGTTATTGGCCACTATTCACTTCTTTACATTATATAGCTGCACAATAGCAGGTATAATATATCAACTGAGTATTCAAAACAATTTTTGAATCTAGTAGTTCAAGGTATAGTGATGATGAGTGGAATTGTCTGAAACTAGTATAACCCAAAAACACACGTTGATCAAAATGTAGATTGAACTGGACCTCCACTGAACTTAGACTTTGAGATTAAACAATTTTTGAATCTAGTAGTTCAAGGTATAGTGATGATGAGTGGAATTGTCTGAAACTAGTA